TATATCTCTCTAATATGTATATCATACATTATTTTCTAACAGCATCATCCCGTTTGTTTAATTAGAGCTTCCATCACACTGGCCTGTTATTCGCAAAATTCACATTAACAGAAGATATCACATTCAATTATAACAGCTCTCACATTTGCAATGATAATCCGACTAATCTTGGCTAAACGAGCGTCGTCTTCTTATGTTAATATTATCAGAGCAAATCATCAGTTATGCTTTATCTTATTACAGAATTAATATCTGTGAAATTAATGTGAACTTTGAACACAACACAGGTCAGTGCAAGGACCATCTATTATGTACGGGACATAATATGCAACGCTACAAGATTGACGACACAATCAACGAAATTTATCACAGCTAAAAATAAACAAAAATACATCATTCTAATAACAGTTAAATCAAGCACATCATAGCTATGCTGATGTGCCGCTTGTACAATTTAAAATTCGTATATTTTTTACGATAATGATTTTTTTTGATTATATCGTCGACTTTGCAGCGTCCTTATATGTGACACTTGCGTATTGCAAGCGCAATATAATCCTCCAAAAGAGAGAGAACATTATATGTCATGCGACTAGCATATTGTCCTATTGCCGTACAATTGCAACAATCGTAGGAGATTCGTTATCTATATAATGCGATATAAGCAATTAAAGATGGCAAACATTCTTTATACAAGTGGGTACGCGAAGAAGGGTATCGTATATCTATTTAAAGAGCTGTACATGTAACTGCACATTGTACGGGCCTTGTGACTAGTTTGTAAAATTTGAAATATATACAACGTGCCCGAAGCACGAACTCGCGACGCAGAATTGTGAGCTATGAAAAATACTGCGAACATTGCAAATATTGCGAACGTAAAATCGTTTACTTCGTCAAGTGTTCCATCAATCCCACAGATTGATCGAAGAAGCAATCATTTCACGCGTACTGATGTAAAAATCAAATTTTGCAACAACATAAAAGCAGCTGTACCTAATAAAATCTTGATCCAGGGAAAAACTCTGTTTCTTCAATTTGATTTTATGCGATTTGGCATTATGCTGAAAGAAATTTCTTTGTCTTGCGTGGCATTGCTTGAGCACTGAGAAATATCGTAAAATGATAGAAATTTTTTTTTTTCATTTTATAAACACGATCGCCACGAGCGAACGTTATATTTCTCAGTACGTCAAACAATATTATATCTAAATTCTTTTATTATTGTAACAGTAAATTAGTTAATTCAATAATCATTCTATATATTGTTATATATGTGCATGTGTATATGTAATACAGATAACTGCGGTGAAAACCTCTGCAAATATCGATCACGTTTATATCTATTTTTATATATTTACTAACTATTTATTAGTCTGGCATCTATTATTTCGACGTATAGCATGATAGAAACTATTTTGCGTTTAGTTGAATCATATAAAGATGAGAAATCGTGACAAATTCATTGGTAAATACAAATTGCAGTACGCGAAGAAATTCTATCTTCACTTCAAAATTTGTAGATAATAGAAGGAAATCGCGCATTGTAACGATTCGGATTAACGTGATTAGAATTACGCTGATTTAATTTCGGAATTACTGCTTCGAACATAATCTCGATTCTATTACCGCTTTTATCGATTACGCACATTGTGCGCTATTGCTTAAAACTCTATGTTGGATTAAACGATTGCTGGAGTGTGATTGTGAATATAAAGTGAAGTATTCACATAAACGTCTCTATTCTGATTTCAATTTCGTAGAAAAAGCAGAGTTGGAAGTTTATTGGTTTGGACGTTAAACTCTCTCATTAAGAGAGAGAGAAATCTATAAAGTATTTTATAGTTTACATTTAGTTTATATTTTATAGTTACTTCATAAATATATAATTTATAATTGCATACATAATATGTTTTTAAACATATACATATAAACTACTTAAACTAGTAAAGAAGCATTGTCACTCTAAAAATTTCGTAAAAAATTAAAGAATTTACTGATTTTTATTAAAATTCGTTCTAAAATATTTTAAAGACAGGTATGTATTATCAAGTAAAGAATTATCAAGTAAATATAGCATCTTGTTACATATTTATTCTCTCTTAGGTTAAAATATTTATCTTTGGATAATTTAGATAAATAATTAGATATACTTGGAAATAAAAAAAATCGATTACTGAATAAACATTTAACATAAAAAATAACAAGAAATAATAAAATAAAATTTCGTTAGATCTCTTAGTTTGATTTAACTAAACACATTTTAATATTAATATTTTCTTTACTTCTTCCATAATATATAGCGATACAAATAAAATTTTATAAAGAAAACAATATTGAAACAGTTGAAATATTTTTCATAAAATTAAAGTGTAGCAAAACATATATCAGGCATTGGACATTGCTCGTTTTTAAATTCTAGAAACTATCAGTCGATAAACGATTTCCGGAAAAATGCTGTTCACAGTGGTTTTACTGTAAACGAATTCAATTTATAAATTTTTATCCAATTCCACTCGTTTGCTTTGCAAAATAAAAATAAAAAACCGCGCCGACAGATCCATCAATTTATTGACATAGGTGATGTTAAATAAACTAAACCGCCCAGCATGCCATGACTCGGAAAGAAAGAGAGATAAAAATTCATAAATTGTACGCGAACTGATATTTGTAATTAGCCCAAAACGCTCATAAATCATGGAAAGGAAAGTTCTTGTCGTTTGCCTCGAGAATTCTACGTTCTCCAAGAACTTGCTCCCTCGGATGGAACCTGCGCGCTAATTACTAAAACTTCAAATATGACCGGACACTGAACTATAGTAGAATTTGTCGTTGAATATATTCAACTATTCGAGAATATTGCACTTAAGCTGGCGCACATAAACCGCCAGATATCAGTTTCCATTCCCTTCGTCAATATTAACGAAGATTAGCAATGAAACTATGTTCAAGTTCAAAATTAAGTTATTTCAGAAATTTAAGGCGTGAACATCCTTGTTTGCCCTAAAAGACAAGTCGATTAAAAAATATACTCCTGTTTTATGCAAGAATATAATAATATATATAATAATATAAAAATTAAGTATCTAATTGATTATCTAAGAAAGTACACATTTAGAATATTATCAAATTTTTCTGCATCTTTATCTTCAAATTAATCTGCAAGACTCTTCTAATCATTAATTTTAAAAAAGGAGTAAACAAAAATCTATATTAACTTTATCAGAAAATACATCTCTATTAATGAGTCATAATTTTTTAGGCTTATTGCACATGTATGTATACATATATGTATATAAATATAATACCTATAAGTATTAATTCGGCATAATGGCTGTCAAAATAACTATCAAAAGAAATATTGCGTATACAATTGTTTTTCATGATGTTATTCCTACATAAAGGTCGCTAAATGAATTCTGGCTAATTTCAAATAAATTTGGAATTTAAATAAAATTTTCGAGTTTAATGAGATACATTCAAAAATAATTTTAAAGCTTTCATAGAAGTTTATATTTTCAATTCCTTCGTTGCCGATTACATGGCACAAAAATTTTTCTGATAGTGGATAATCTTAAACGTAATGCAAAGTGGACACTATTAACCGCCTGTCTTCCTGCAAACTTCTTGTAAACTTCGTGGTCTAGCTTAGATGAAATTACGCGGGAAACTATATACGAACTGCAAACTATTGAGGAACTAATCGTATATCCCTCTGTTCATTATCCAAAACTTTCCTAATCGTGAAACGGATAATAGGCAAAGACTTCGTACGTTGAGTGAGTTCTTTAAAGTAATAATCATACAATTCTTTATAAAATGTGAAATGTGATTTCACTATAAAAGTGTGCCAAGTTTAAATCATCTAATCGAATTAATTGTTCTTTTCCTTCATAAATAATTATCTGTAATAATCTACATATATATAACGCAAATTAATTGTTTAAAACTCGTTGCAAACTCTATTATCAAAGTATGACTTAGACTAGAAGATTGTATTTAAGAGAAACTAAGGCAAACTATTTAATCGATTGGTAGATCACTTCATGCGTGGAATCATGTCTTTGAGTTATAATCAATAATAATATCTGGAATATATAATGCTGATGTGACTCTCTAGAAGATAAAGTTACATAATTCAGAGAATATTTAAAGGAATTTCATCGAATAAAAATAAAGTTTACAAAAATAAAATATTAAAGAAATTGTTTGTAAATAATTTCTTTCTTTAAAATTAAATCAATGAATAATAAAAAATAAATTAATTGAATAATATGTTTATCATGTTTATATTCATTATTAATTAAAACTTTAAATTTTTATTTTACTTTAAATATATACATACAATATCACATACTTATCATCTTGAAAAAAAAATCTATAATAGCACTGATAGAAATTTGCATACTTCCAAGAAGTAATCATTACGTAATCAATATAGTCAAGCGTACTGGGGAAAAAGCCTAACATGCATAATTACTGTGACTACAAAAACTACCTACCATAATTATTACCAACTGCGATAAGAACTACCTACTCTATAAGGCCTAAGTTCGTCAGCAACTTTGCTATCTCAGTAATTAATTCAATGGTGTCGTTGGAAGAAGGCATAAATTTTTGCTCCGGGAAAGATCTACCATTACGTCTAGAAGCAGTTCGATGTGCTTCTGGTAATTCTGTGAATACACGATTTAACCGAGCGGGCTACATGAAATCGAGATCGATCGAAGAGTTTAAGACTTTCGCGATCGTAGAGCCGATAATGGGTTTAAACGACGTCTAGGCGTGCTCTCAGTGGATGAGGAAGCGCTCTTAGACTTGGAAGTTTTTGACGCCTTAGGCGTCTTCTCTTTGCTCGTGGCCGCAGAGGTTTTCACCGGTTTCCCGGATTTATTCACACCACCTCCAGAGCTCGCGCCCGTGGAGGCCGTGGAAGATGTGGGCTTACTAGACGCGATAGTGTTTTGGGAAAGGGTTTGGGTGTTGGGTCTTACTTGTACCTCGCAGGGGGGCGGCGCGCTCCTGTACGATGGCACGATCTTGAAAGTCACCGATCCACGTGCCTCCCGCTGTAACAGTCGAAGAGAACCGGGCTCTTCAGAAACTACGGCTACGAGTAAGCAAGCCGATGCTCATTCGCATAAACACAAAATTTTGCACACAACAATGCAGTGTTAAAGCTAAATTTATAACTCGATATCATATTCTGCTTCAAAGTATAATTTTTTTAAATTTTGTAATAAATACTTGTTTGAGAAAGTTATAGTATATTCCATCAAGTAATCTCTTTGATAACGTAGGATTAAGAACTTCTTGAAACAAGTTCCCAGATTCCGCTCGCAGTTACGAGAATAACTTTATAATACTCACCAGAATCTTTTGCAAGGCATTAACGGATTGATTCTGAACTGGTATACCGTTGATCTCTCTAATCTCATCACCAACGTGAAGAGTGGCTTGTCTATGGATCATCCCACCGTGCATAATCCGCGCTACGAAGCATTGCCCATCCTCATTCATTTTCAATGTGATTCCCTGAAAAACAGATAATGTAAAGTAAATTAAGAGTGGTAAATGTAATGTTTTATCGATAACAAGTTAAACATTGCATTACAGTCGCATATTTCAAACATGGCGAATGTCCGTGTGTTAAACCATGTGAATAATAAATAACAACGCCGTAAATTAAAAATCAAAATTGTCATAACAACAAAGTTTATTTTACAATGCACATAAAAATTTAATATTTATTATTATCCTGCAAATCTTTATTAAATGTTTTATTAAAAATTAAAAAAAATATTAAGATAATATTAAATTAACTTTTTTATCACAAATTTTCAATTGCTCAACATAATGCCTAAACAATATCTTTCACATCCATATATATCTGTATACATATTTTTACGCTTTCGTACATAAAATACACGGAAAATTGTAAACTATATCTCGTTAATTATCACATTTTAAAATCATTTTTGCTATTATATATTAATGAGAAAGGTATATGATTAACTCTTTCACTAATATCATGT